TCGTCCTCATCGTCCGAGACCTCGATGTGGTCCCACACGCTGTAGTCCACCATGGCGAGGCCGCCGCCGGCGCCCGCCGCCTCCGGCCGCTTCTCGAACCCTCCAGCGCCCGCCCCGCCTACTTCCGCCCGTGACTGGCGCACTTCCGGATGCGCCGTTTGCGCACTTCCTGTTGCGCGCGTCCTCTCTGCGCACGCGCACGGCCCGCCAGGGACGCGCCGGCGCGGCCGCCTCGCCCGGCACAAAGATGGCGCGGGTTTTAAAGAGACACGCACGCCGGAAAAGGGGGGTGAGGGCGGGACCCCCCCGCTCGACGCCCCAGGGCCTGGGGGGGCTGGGAGGATCCCACTCCCCTCAAGGAGGGTGGGCAGGGACCCTCAGGCAGGCGCTGCTCGTCTGGGGGCCTTGGGGACATGGGGGGACATGGGGACAGAGGGACACGGAGGCACAGGGACATGGCGGGACATGGGGGGACATGGGATCACGGGGACGTGAGGGGGCATGGCGCCTTGGGGACAGAGGGACATAGGGACACAGGGACATGGTGGCACAGGGACATGGGGGGACATGGGGACAGAGGGACATGGGGACACGGGGACATGGAGGCACATGGCGCCTTGGGGGGACAGGGACATGGTGGCAAGGGGGCATGGGGATACAGGGACATGGGGACAGAGTGACATGGGGGGACATGGGGACACAGGGACATGGGGATGGAGGGACATGGTGGCACGGGGACACAGGGACATGGGGACATGGGGACACAGGGACATGGGGACAGAGTGACATGGGGGGACATGGGGACACAGGGACATGGGGACGGAGGGACATGGTGGCACGGGGACATGGGGACACAGGGACATGGGGACAGAGTGACATGAGGGGACATGGTGCCTTGGGGACAGAGGGACATGGGGACAGAGGGACAAGGAGGAACAGGGACATGGTGACACAGGGACATGAGGAGACAAGGTGCCTTGGAGACACAGGCACATGGGGATGGGGGGACATGGGGGGACGTGGCTCCCTGGGGACACCGGGACAGGGGGACGCAGGGACAGAGGGACATGGGGACACGGGGACACAGTGACATGGGGGACAGAGGGACATGGGGGGATGTGGCTCCTTGGGGACACCGAGAGACAAGGACACCAGGACAGGGGGACACAGGGACAGATGGACACAGGAACAGAGGGACATGGGGGACACCGGGACAGGGGGATAGAGGGACAGAGGGACATGGGGACAGAGGGACATGGGGGGACATGGCTCCTTGGGGACACCAAGAGACATGGACACTGGGACAGGGGGACATGGGGACAGGGGGACAGAGGGACACAGGGACATGGGGGACACCAGGACAGGGGGACACAGGGACAGGGGGACAGAGGGACATGACATGGGGGACACCAGGACAGGGGGACACCGGGACAGAGGGACG